AAATGCTCACAGCCGTTTGAACAGGTTGCGTTCACGTGCAAAACATATGTGAATCCAAAAATAATATACATCCAGAATGCACTTTCCAACAGAAGTTTAAAACCAAACATGGGTCGACAGCTGGAACTCAACCTTGCTCTGGATGCATGACAAAATCACAGCAGGCTTTCAGCGGTTCAGCGATTTCTTTGCCCATCTCCATGGAGCTATCTTCAGCCACGCGTATACCCCATAGGGCAGCACAGATCTGGTCAAGGGAAACGGCAAAACAATGCAAAACACATCGGACAAGCGATGGCTACTCCCCAAGCCACAAGCGCTGGCCTCCAACCTACGAAACCGCTCTTCAGCTCTTCTCTCTTGGCTCTTCTCTTCAGAGCATTTCGCTCTTTGGCATTTTCTCTCTTGGCTCGTTTGGCATTGCTTCTTCCCTGATCTCTTCGCCCCGGTCTTCGACTGTTGGTCTTCTCTTCAGACGCTAACCGTAACCGGTGGCCTCCATGCCGCTCCGACCCGAGAACGGTCCTGCCAACCCCCCGATCTCGGCCTCAGATCTCCGCCGTCTGGGTGACCTCCTCCGGAAGCGCCGCCGTGGGCGGGCGCGACCAGGCCGCGGAGGAGCTGAAGCTGGAGCTCCTGGCGAGGGCCGAACTGGACCGAGCCAGTGCGGTGAAGCCTCGTGCGGTGAAAACATGTGAAAACCACCACCAGCTCAGCCCAAGAAGGAGTGGATGATGTGGACGAAGGCTTGACGATCAAAAAATAAACATTAATCTGAAAAAACATCTATGCAAAATGATTGGGAGCTTTAAAGAACAGAACCGGTGAAACGATGCCACACACAAGCATGGTGGCCGAAAATGGCGCAAGTGCCACACGCGAACCACGTCACCCGAAGTCGGAGGTTGCTGGTTGGCGGCGCTTCGCCATGTTCAGAAGCAAAGCGCCCAGCTCGCTTCGCTTCGTCGCTTCGTCATGTCTTAGGAACTTCTCTCTGAAGCGAAGTGGCCTTTAGGCCTTGAAGTCGGCTGAGCGCGAAGACGACCCGTGCAAAAGGGCCCCTGCGAAAGACCATTGAAACCACCTTGACGATCAACGTCGACAGAAGAGGAACTCTAGTGGGAAGGAAACTATGCCCTACAAGCGCATGTGTTAAGTCACGGCTTGCAGAAGTCACCCGGCCGCATGGAAACGCAGCATCAGTGAAAAGTCCCCTGGCTTGCGAAAAGCCACCTTGCTTTACAGCACCATGGAAACGCCTTCACGGAAGTATGTTTTGTACATCAATATATGCTTGTTGCCCCTACGCAGCAAAGAAAAAGAAGAGAACCGGATCTACCTCGAAGTTTCTTGCTTTGGGGGCAAGCCCAATGAGAACGGTCACCCACCACCGAATCCCAGGACCTTTCTTCGTCACCCACGTCCGATCCGCCGCCTGAAAACGTCCCGAGTCCCACATCCCATGGGCTACGGCTACGTGAGACCTAGGTACCCACCGAGCCTACCCGGCTTCCTACCGTCCGTTCCGTTCCGCAGCTGCGAACGGACTGCCGAACGGACACGCGCGCGCGAGAGGGGAACCGTGCTGCGAACGGACTGGTGAAGCGCGCAGGGTGGGCGGATGCACTGCGCGTGCGTATCTGCGCGTGATGCAGGAAGTCGACAGATCGGGTTCAACAGATCTGGAGAAAAAGGACCGACTTGGTCTGACTCCATTCAGGGCGCCAGAGACAGGCGCAGAGTTGACCTGCGAGGTACAATCTTCTGGTTGCTGTGTCTTGCCTTTGGTGGCTGTGAGAGAAACAACCTTTAAATCTGGCAAAGTGAAGAAACATGAAAAAGACACACAAATGTATCATCTGCACATTCTAGGTTGGAGGCCATTGCTATTAGGTTGGAGGCCATCGCTATCAGTTTGGAGGCCTGGAGGCCATTGCTATTAGGTTGGAGGCCACCGTTAGGGCCAATGAAGAAATCAAGATTGAACAAAAGGACTTTCCAACACAGGTTGAAGAACCCTATAGGCTATCCCAGTTTGGTACCCTGGTAAGGTCCTATAAGGTCACTGAACCTCTGTTGGTCGTATCATCCGCACGTTCTACGATGCACCACTTCTGCTCCCCACCGGTCCTGAGGGAGCGTTGTCCAGTGGCGATGCGACGGGAGGAGCTCTTGCGCAGGCTCCCATGACTCAGAGT